TACCTGTTCCATTGTGGACAAACTGATCCAAGCATTAATCTAACAACTGTCCTCTGCAGGTGACAACAAAGGGACAGCTTCTGTCCATCTGTCGGAGGGTGGGGATCATCACAGAGCAGGAGGGGAGCAGGAGGGCGCGGGGGTCATCGGAGGCCTGACGGGAAGGGAGTTTGACGAGCTGCCCCCCACCTGCAGCGTCAGGCTTGTCGACAGCGCGGTGCTTTGCCCGGTGGAGCCGGCACACAAGAGTCGAATCGTGGAGTATCTGCAGAGCCTGAGCGACATCACTGCCATGGTGAGTGTGTGCATTGTACTTGGCATGTTGTTAACCAGTACTGTGACATCCTCAATTTATCCCCCTCCACCCCTCCCCTCTCTCGTGGGTTCAGACAGCGAGGGTGAATGATGCCCGGCCTGAAGAAGGCAGAGATCGGCAATTGCTATGGGCAAGCGGCCAGCGGTGGCCAAGTCGCCTCTGAGATGATTCCTGGCCGACGACAATTTCTCCACCATTGTGGCAGCTGTGGAGGAAGGCCGAGCCATTTACAACAACATGAAACAGTTCATCAGATACCTGATATCATCCAACCATAGGAGAGGTGGTCTGGTGAGTAGAGGAAACTCTGACGCAGAGAGTTTGATCCAAACAGCCTGGAGGAAGTTGGAGTGTTGTTTGACCCCTCACTGTTTCCTTCTTCCCTTCTCCCTCAGTATTTTCCTGACGGCCGCGCTTGGCATGCCTGAAGCGCTGATCCCAGTCCAGCTGCTGTGGGTCAACCTGGTGACTGACGGTTTCCCAGCAACAGCTCTGGGCTTCAACCCTCTGACTGGACATCATGTCCCGCCCTCGCACGCTCCCCAAAGAGCCTCTCATCTCCAGCTGGTTGTTCTGTCGCTAACCTCTCATTGGATGTGAGTCTTGAGCTTCTCATAATCAGATTGTGATCACATACACATTATTAGAACACATAGAGAGCATCTCACCTGTCAGACAAGATGTCCTGCTTTCACAGAATCTGCAGCTTACAAACCACAATGCTGCTTCCCATCCTTCTGTGCAGGTTATGTGGGAGCAGCCACCGTCGGAGCAGCTGCCTGGTGGTTTTAGGCAGCTCATGATGGACCTAAACTTTCCTTCTATCAAACTGGTAAACACACATCTCCCATCACTGCACCTGCTTCTAATGCTCTGTGGTCCTTCATTATATGCTGTGGTTCTGTGGATATACTGAGGGAGTGACCTGGTATTGCAAATATCAAGAAACTGAAAAACAGTAGGTAATAGCTTAAGGTAACAAACAGTAAATGCTAGGTATTGATAATATTAACAACTAGTGAAGCTTTTATGACCAGGGATTGACTGGAAAATCATTTATTTATTTACACTTTATAATAAAGATTATTATCTCTTCCACCAACAAGACTTGAATCTGCAGTGTCAGGCTTCCCGGTGACCTCAGCTGACCTGTTCACATGTGGACAAACTGATCCAAGCATTAATCTAACAACTGTCCTCTGCAGGTGACAACAAAGGGACAGCTCTGTCCATCTGTCGGAGGGTGGGGATCATCACAGAGCAGGAGGAGGAGCAGGAGGGCGCGGGGGTCATCGGAGGCCTGACGGGAAGGGAGTTTGACGAGCTGCCCCCCCACCTGCAGCGTCAGGCTTGTCGGACAGCGCGGTGCTTTGCCCGGGTGGAGCCGGCACACAAGAGTCGAATCGTGGAGTATCTGCAGAGCCTGAGCGACATCACTGCCATGGTGAGTGTGTGGCATTGTACTTGGCATGTTGTTAACCAGTACTGTGACATCCTCAATTTATCCCCCTCCACCCCTCCCCTCTCTCGTGGGTTCAGACAGGCGACGGGGTGAATGATGCCCCGGCGCTGAAGAAGGCAGAGATCGGCATTGCTATGGGCAGCGGCACAGCGGTGGCCAAGTCGGCCTCTGAGATGATCCTGGCCGACGACAATTTCTCCACCATTGTGGCGGCTGTGGAGGAAGGCCGAGCCATTTACAACAACATGAAACAGTTCATCAGATACCTGATATCATCCAACATAGGAGAGGTGGTCTGGTGAGTAGAGGAAACTCTGACGCAGAGAGTTGATCCAAACAGCCTGGAGGAAGTTGAGTGTTGTTTGGACCCCTCACTGTTTCCTTCTTCCCTTCCTCCTCAGTATTTTCCTGACGGCCGCGCTTGGCATGCCTGAAGCGCTGATCCCAGTCCAGCTGCTGTGGGTCAACCTGGTGACTGACGGTTTCCCAGCAACAGCTCTGGGCTTCAACCCTCCTGACCTGGACATCATGTCCCGCCCTCCACGCTCCCCCAAAGAGCCTCTCATCTCCAGCTGGTTGTTCTGTCGCTACCTCATCATTGGATGTGAGTCTTGAGCTTCTCATAATCAGATTGTGATCACATACACATTATTAGAACACATAGCAGCATCTCACCTGTCAGACAAGATGTCCTGCTTCACAGAATCTGCAGCTTACAAACCACAATGCTGCTTCCCATCCTTCTGTGCAGGTTATGTGGGAGCAGCCACCGTCGGAGCAGCTGCCTGGTGGTTTATGGCAGCTCATGATGGACCTAAACTTTCCTTCTATCAACTGGTAAACACACATCTCCCCATCACTGCACCTGCTTCTAATGCTCTGTGGTCCTTCATTATATGCTGTGGTTCTGTGGATATACTGAGGGAGTGACCTGGTATTGCAAATATCAAGAAACTGAAAAACAGTAGGTAATAGCTATAAGGTAACAAACAGTAAATGCTAGGTATTGATAATATTAACAACTAGTGAAGCTTTATGACCAGGGATATGCTGAATCAGCTCCTCTGGGCTCTGTTTTAACGACCCAAAGCTCATGGTCTGAAGTGTGTTTTAACCGTGGAAAAAACAGTACCAGGTGCATGGTTCAAAAGGGTTGTACTTAGTCTCTTAATTATTCATGAGAGTGTTTTGGACGTAACATGTAATAAACCAATCAGAGTACTATCTCTCATTCGCTTTAAACGCCAGTCTGAATCTGCACTAGTCAATAGTGATGAGATCTGTGATCAGCCAGTACTTGATGATAATATCGGCCATGTTGATGTGGTCAGCCTCTAGTTAAGACATGTGCAGGATCATAACTGAACAGAAGAAGCACAGCATTAGCATATTTTGCACAGGTAGGTAAGGGAGAGAGGTAAGTAGGAAGTTGGAGGAATATTATTTACACCTTTATTTCCTCCGCAGTCTCACTACCTGCAGTGCAGCGAAGGCCATGTGGAGTTTGCTGGTGTGCAGTGTTCAGTCTTTGAGTCTCCTTATCCTATGACTATGGCTCTGTCTGTCCTGGTTACCATAGAGATGTGCAACGCCCTGAACAGGTAAGAACAAAACAAACACACCCAAACACTGAACTTCACGTCCCACACTGCTGTCTTGTATTAGATTTGAAACCGCCCTGTGTGTGTGTGTGTGTGTGTGTGTGTGTGTGTGTGTGTGTGTGTGTGTGTGTGTATAGTATAGGAGTGTGTGTGTCTGGTATAGGACTATATGTATGTTTTTGAAGGGGTGAGATGAAGTTGTGACAGTGAGCATCATCTTTTTCAGTCTTTCAGAGAACCAGTCCCTGCTCAAAATGCCTCCCTGGTCCAACCCCTGGCTGGTGGGAGCAATCTGTCTATCCATGGCCTTACACTTCCTCATCCTATATGTGGACCCCCTGCCGGTGAGGATGCAGTCATGAGTTTACACACACTTAGGTTGAAGTCATTAAAACTAATTTTTTAACCACTCGACAGATTTCATGTTATCAAACTGTAGTTTTGGCTCGTCAGTGAGGTCATCATCTACTTTGTTCCAACAGTTGTTCACAGACAGATTGTTTCACTTATAATTCACTACATCACAGTTCCAGTTGGTCAGAAGTTTACATACACTACGCTGACTGTGCCTGCTTGGAAAATTCCAGCAAATTATGCCTTCTCATAGGCTAATTGACATAATCTGGTGTACCTGTAGAAGTATTTTAACTTTAAAGAGCACCTATTATGGCCATTCTTAGTGTTCATCATTTCATTCTTGGTGTCGACCAAAATAGATTTACATGCTTTAATGTTCTAAAAAGACATTATTTCTGGTGGTTTCTGAAGCAGTAATCCTTGAAGTGCTGGGCTCACACTGTAATGTTTGGAGCAGTGGAGAACCGTGGAAAAATGTAGTAGATTTCTGCAGGCAATTGAGAACACTGTCTTTTTGGCATGGCTAAAAAACTGAAGAAAACTCTTCATTATAAGTAGTTATGTGCTGCGCCTTGTGTGGGGGCGTGCCAAGCTTGTAGGGGGTGTCCAGGTTGCAGGTGGGCAGCACCAAGAGACACATTGACGTCAATAGGACCAGGAAGTAATGTCTGGACCCCCAACAAGGCATTTTCATACAGGTTTTGCCCTGACAGCGTTCCTCCCTTTGGTGTAAACTTTGATCTTTGTGACTCCGGAGACCATTTCCATGCAAGAAAAACATATATAACACACTATAAGTAAGGAAAAATAAAGTATAATAGGTCCCCTTTAAGTTTACCTTCACACTCGGTGACTCTTTGATTGACATCATGGGAAAATCAAAAGAAATCAGCGAAGATGTCAGAAAAAGTGAACCTTCACAAGTCTGGTTCATCCTTAGAGTAATTTCCAAACACCTGAAGGTTCCACGTTCATCTGTACAGACAGTAATACAGAAGTATAAACACCATGGAACCATGCAGGTGTCAGTCCACCCAGAAAGGAGACGTGTTCTGACTACTAGAGTCGAAAAGAGACAGGTGAGATCAGGGTTAAATGTTTAAATGTGTTTGGGTAAGGCGTATGTAAACTTGACCTCAACTGTATGTGTCCTAAAGGTTCTTAAAGTCTCCATTTTTCTGATTGTTCACTGTGAAGGATAATGCAGTTGTCCTACACCGATGCCACACAAACCATCCGTCCCTCCTTCTGTGTCCTCAGGTGATATTCCAGATTCGCCCTCTGTCGTGGCCTCAGTGGGTGGTGGTGCTGAAGATGTCACTTCCTGTCATCTTGATGGACGAGGCCCTTAAGTTCCTGGCCCGCAACTACATCGAGCCGGGGAGTCAGATCCAGGTCAGGTCTTCAGTTAAAGAGTAGCAGGGTTTCTGTATCTCTGAAGTGCTCTGTGTCTGATTCTCTCCTTTCTTCAAATCTGTCACTCAAACAGACGTTGGAGGAGGAGGAGGAGGAGCTACAGAGGACAGGGGCTAGCGCCGGATTAGTCAGCGCCATGATGACAAGGGTACACCAGTCAGCAAAGGGCGTGTCCTGGTCATTCGTCCTGATCTCTGCGCCACTAGTGATCTGGATCTTCAGCCTGGACTCTGACATCACTAACATCTTCTGGGAGTGATGGGGGGGACACGGTGAAAGACAGGAGACTGGAAGAGGACAGAGAGAAGCTAAAGAAGGAGATCAGGGGATGAAAATGCAGGAGAAGGAATGTGGAAGGGTGAGAAACAAGATGATAAATACTTGAGATACAGGGATGTAAGGGATGAAGATTAAGAGTGATTTTTTTTTTAGCCAGCAGACAATCAGAAAAACAAGAAGATGAAAGTGTAAGGCAGGTTTAGGCTCTCAATGAAAAGGTGTTTCGTGTAGCTAATAGTCTCTCTCACAACTTCATAGTTCAGACTGTTATTCCAGCTGCTCCTCGTGTTCCCGCCTCAGGCATGCAGACGTTTGCTGCACCAACACACAGGTCCACAGTGAAACGTCTCTGTTGTACTTTTATGTTAGCATAGCATGCTAACCTACTCATTTTTAGTCTTAAGATACTAAAGATTGTGTGGTAGACATTAGCAAGTTAACATGCGAGTGTTAACTTACTGTCTGTCTGTCTTTCTGCCTTAAAATAACTCAGCATTTAGGCTTCCCACCAAAATGGATCCAAGGGACACACAGTGTAAAATATACTGTAGGTCATCAGTGATTAACAATGGCCGCATTCAAGGCAGATTTTGTTTTGTTTGATTCGTTTTTGGATACAAGCTGATCACAAATCCTAGCTTCAAAACAAGGAATTGACTAAATCAGGTCGCACCATTCAAACTGAGAAAAGACTTCAGTGTAAATTAGTTGTTAGGGAACATCAGTAGTTATCCAGTCACAGGAAGTTGACAGGAACTCGTCGTAGCATCAGGAGCTTTTAGGAGGTCGAACAAACGAACAGTTTGTCTGACAATGTTTTAGAAGTGTAGGTATGGCTTTGCTTAGTTGCTGAGTTATTGGTGCAACGTTAGATAGATAGAGATACATTGTACTATTTTAATGAAATGTAATCCTTTTGCATCTTAATGAGTGTTTTACATCTTTAGCTCTTCAGTCTGAACAGGTCCTCTATTAGCAAGCTAAGGTTTTCTCAGCTAGCTCGGTAGACGTTGCCCCTGAAACTGTACATGACAACATGGCTAACATTAACTTTAGGAAGAGCTGATACAACAGGCTCCTGAAGAGGGAAGTGGAACCAGTTCTTCAAAATAAAAGCCTGCTTATCTTGAGGTAAAATGCTACACACCTTTTCAGACGATTGAAAAATGAGTGGAGTATATAGAAGAGAGAAACTCTGAGTGGTCCACAGTCTCACACATACACACACACACACACACACACACACACACCAGATTTATGCACACATTGTTATTCACCAGTAATAATAATAAGAGGTCAGTGGATGAGGCCAGATAAGTAGACGTACAGTAGAGCCCCCAGCCGGCTGCTCCAACACTCCTCATGCTGCAAAGCAGAAATAGTAACATTAATGTTAAAACTTCCTCGTCCGTGAGACTAAAACAAGCATTTAACCTGTGAAGAAGACTGTTCGCAGACGTTGAGCACACACATCACACATTCTGTAGAAACAGGGGGTGACGTCTAACCTCTGACAGGTCACTCGTTTAGAACTTTACTCTGACAGATCTCCAGCTGTTGTTCAGTCTCCTTCACTGTCTCTCTCTCAAAGTCCTAAATGTAATTTGATGTCCTGAGGCTTCACACCCCCACACCCCCTGACTGAAGCTGATTTTAAGCCTTCACACCCGGATCAATGAGTCGAGTCTGTTTGATTAGTTCAGAAACGTTGATCATATTATTTATATCCGTGGTTAGACGCAGTAGAGGTGGTCATGTACTTCCAGGTGCAGTCTACATCTGAAGGATGTGACTTGACTGACACATGTATGTAAGCTGAATAGATGAATATGGTTTTTTATGTTAGAGCTTCAAATATACTCTATGTGTTTATTATTAACCCCTGCTCTGCTTTCTCTAAGATCCTCTGTGTTAGTCGACAGGTGGAAAACTCTAACACACAGTGATCAATAACACACGTTGTGCAGTACAGTAGGCCTGACAGTGAGCGAATGTTTCTTGTAAATTTGTTATGTGTGTGTGCGTGTGTGAATCTTTGATCAGTCTGCCATTTTCTCCAGGGATGCCATTGTGACATCTCACTCTGTCTGCCATCCAAGGGATTTTTTTGATTCCTGTAATTAGAATAACGTCGGTTGTGATGGCGCGGTGGGACAAAACATCTGAGCTTTAGAGTTTAGAGTCGAAATATTTTGAGACAAAGTCAGAATTTATTCAGAATAAAGTCTCAGTGCATCCACTAACAGTACAGCTGCAGAATTACAACCTCACTCTGACTCTATTTTAATATTACGCCTTTTTTTTTCAAAATTACATCATAAATCTCGGGATACATTTGTTCATAAACTGACTTTATCTTGTAATTTTGTCCTTTTTTTGTGAATTATGACTTCTTTCCTGATTTTGTGACGCTTTATGACCTTTTTGAATAAAATTTACACTTTTTTTCAACGGTATAATTTTTTCTCTCTATATTGCAGTATTCTGTAAAATATAACAATTCTCGAAATGTCCATTTCTTGTTTTTTTTTCTTTATGAGAGCATTTAATAAAAAAGTGATGGCTATAAAATAGAAAAGCATTAAACTTCCTGATGTTGAAAACTGTTATGGAGACCAACTCACCTGTTGTGGGATTTTTATTTTGTATTTATTCACTTTTCTTGTCATTTGTTTGTTTGGATTTAACGTTGCTGTAGTTACTTCTCCTTTAATGAACCAAAAACCACAGAAGAAGTTTTCGCCGCCCAAGATTCTGCCTGTCTTTTTCTCTCTTTTCTTTTTTTTCTTGTTATTTATTAATATTTTATTTTTCTGCATCCATGTACAGCCCAGTTCTGACACATTCTGACTGTACCAAGTTTGTTTACACCTTTTTCCTTTACTATTATAATTATAATTATAATATATTATTATTATTATTATTATTATTATTATTATTAGCTGACAGCCATGTCTTCAGGAGTGGGATAAGTGGGAGGGAGGGTTTTTGGAGCAGCGTCACTGTAAATGAAAAGTTGTTCTTGACTGACTTGCCTGTTGAAATAAAGGTTGAATTGCAGAACTTGGTAATTGGAGAGACTGTTCTCAAATATGTTTCTCTTTTCTTTTTCTCCACCTTGTTTCGTCTCATATCCAACTCACCCACATTTACACTGAAGCTGAACAAGGGAGTGTCAGTTTGTTTTTGTTTTTTCATTCATTCTGCTGTTGAAGTTAACAAAAAAAATATAAACATATGATGTGTGTGTTTTTTTTTTCAGGCTTTTTGTGCCTTTATTGATAGTGCAGTAGAGAGAGACAGGAAATGGGGAGGCAGAGAGAGGGGGAATGACATGCAGCTAAGGTGCGATTCGATGCAGGACTCGAACCGGGGCAACTGCAGCGAGGACTGTAGCCTCTACACATGCTCATCCAACTGACCTACTCGACGCCCCCATATGATGTGTGTTTGCGTGTTTGACACATTACAAACATAATATATAACAATATGTGTTATATACTGCCTTAAATCCAGCTGTTCATGTTTGTCTTATAGCTGAAGGTATTTTTCCTGTACACCTTTATTTACAGGATATACTCTTGAAACATTGGTATCTTATATATTGAACATACTGTGTTGTAGCTGTAGATAATGGTTAGGACAAAGACAGCTGTGTAAGGATGGTTTGTTGTCATTACAGGAACTTAAAATATCAGCATTCAGAAGGCCACTTCCTGTGTCCGGGAGCATCTTCATGTTGTGAACGCAATATCTCTGTAACACCTTGAAGGAACGTCTTCAAATGTGACACAGGTATTCATTTGGACATAAGGATGAACTGATCAGATTTTGGTGGCTAAAGGTCAAGGTCAGTGTGACCTCACAAAACACTTTTTAGCCATTACTCAAGACTTCACACAGCAATTACAACAAATTTCACACAAATGTTTCATATTTAATAAGACTCTCGATAAACAGGGTTGTAATCTGAAACTAGTCTGAGTGGAGGAGGCAGACAACCATGAGGAGTTGACTCTAGTTTATCTCTTTTTTTACTTTGCAGATTGAATTGAGCAGTTTTCCTTTCTCAGTTATTAAGAAATGAAATGATCAAATAGAGCTATTGCATGTATTAGATAGGTTTTAAGTTGGTGTTGGTTGTGCGTCGCCAGGGTTGTGTTGCATATTGTGAGTTTCATTGTGAAAATAAATGATATGGATGTGTTTAGTTGAATCTGTTGCCATGAAGAATTGTTTATAAATTTAAGGGACCCCAGGAAGAGCAGCCATTGTTACAACACAGTGATGTGCTGTCAGAGCAAGCAAGGCAAGCAGTGTTTGACCAGTTAAGCGGGAAATCAATTAGAACGACACCAAAGTAGAAGCGACGTCTGTCCTCACATCTCAGAAGAGCAATCTGTTTCCTTTTTGCATTCATCATGTAATTTACTGTCCTCTTGTGGTGGCAGCTGGGTATTGTCTCTGGAAGCTAGCTTGACATCCAGCCGTTGTATCTAAAGTTTCTATCATTTTCATGGGTGTGACCATGTCCCGATGACAAAGGCTGGAGCTTATCAAACAGAGAAGACAGCATCTTAATTCGAAGGTTTGCACATTGATGATAATCCTGGGATCTTGGACTTGTGATTAGCTACAGCTGAGGTCTGCTTGTCAAGCTGTCCTTTACTCAGCTTTGACTGTTCTGAGATCAGTTATGGTATTTCAGCACTTGCACATTAGAAAATTACTTCCACAGGTTTTTCTTCCAAAGCATTAAGAGGCAGCAACAACAAGTAAACAAGCAAATGACACCTTAGTCAACATGTGTGACGTTGAGGAGTTAGGGTGTATTATGGAGCATTGTCACCAGAGAGTATCATTGTCAGTTAAGGGTAAATATTTTGAAGATTACTATAGAAGTGATTTTTAGGTATTTTTCCTCTATGCTGCACATTTGATATGTTTAGTGTCAGTTCAAAGGAATAATCCTAAAACTTCTTCAGCCAGGAAGGAGTGCAGAAAGGTGAAGATGTCCAGACGGGGAGCAGCAAGATGGAGGAGAGCATAAAATCATTAGAAAGGAGAGCATGAAAAGGTAAGTCTTAGTTTGGTCCATATTTTTCTCACTGGGGTGTTGAATCACACAATGACATGGCGGTTTTTTGAGTGTGTGTGTATGCCATTTGTTTTACATTGTTATAATTTATAAAACCAGGTTGAACTAACTATTTAACCTGAGTGCAGTCAACACACAGGTTTTGTTTGCTGCTCTCTGGATACTTTTGTTGGTGTGGAGTAAAAACTCTACAGACTGTGTGTGAAAATCAGATCGGCAGCTTCAGAAACTCAAACCAGCGTCTGACATCAACAACCATGAAGCTCAAAGTCACTGAGATCATTTTCTCTCATTCTGATGTTTGAAGATGTACATGAGTTCTTGAGTGAGGAGTGAGTATATCACCATTTATCTTAAACAGCTGTACTGTAGTTGACCACATGATGGGGCCAGAGAGCCAACTCACGAGAGTACACGTCCTTTTTGTCCAACACGTCAGATTTTCGGGGGGGGGGGGGGGTTCACAGCATTTCTATCAAACCATTTGGACACATGAGGTGTGGACAAATTTAGCCTCTGGTCTATTAAAGTCAACAAGTTTGTGCTGTGTTTCTGAATGTGTTTCTGAATGTGTGTGTGTGTGTGTGTATGTGGGCGTGTGTGTGTGTTTGTGTGTTAAGGACAGTAGGTTGGGTGGACGAACCTTGAGCTCCATTTATAGACATACTGTACACAGAGATAGGCAGAGAGTCAGTGTGAGTGCACATGTGCCAGTTCATCCAGCTGCCACACAGAGGGAAGGAAATCTGACTTTAAACCTGCAGGAGAAGGAAAGATTCAAGTCTGACACAAGTGAAACTCTCCTGTTGGAAACAGAGGCGACAGGGAATCATCACCATAAACACAGATCATCGACCACCAACTGCAGCACAACAACTCAGACAGTAAGTGACTTTAAGCATGTTGTGTGTTAATGTGTGTGTTCAGGTACAGAAATGTGAAGACCCCCCCTCTTTAAGCCTTTTGCCACTTTAAGGACTGAGTTGTGTCAGCATGTGATTGCAATTCAGAGTTGAGGTAGAGAGAACTACAGAGGTGTCGGGCAACTGTTGGCAGTATGGCTGGACGTGACATCAGAATAAATAGTAATACAATCATTTTCCAATGTTGGACAAGTTTTCTTTGTATCTGATCTCAACAGAAGCTTGTTTACCACTAAGGAAAAATATGTTAACACTCAACAGAATGACTATTTTTTCTGTCGACACTGTGTGAATGCAGCATTACCCCACACACTGCAGATGAAGTGATGTGCTGGAATCTGAAACAGAACAAATTGTTTATGGAGAGGAGGAATCATGGTGGCATGGCCGGCCTCTCTCCCGTCAACCTGTCTGAAACAATGAGGCGTGTTCGTGACGGTTACTCTCCAGGCTGTCAAACAGATGAGAATCCACCACATCTTGTACAGCAGAGGTTCTTACATCATCCACACCTGGTTTTGTCTGTCACCTGTCTATCCTGACTCTCTGTGATCTCTGTTGTCTCTCTCATGCTGTCGCTCATGGACATCTTGTTGACGTTTTGCAACTGCACCATCAAGGGCTTTTGGGAAATGGTGTTTGTTAAAAGCTGCTAAAAGACATAAACACTCACTAAACAACTGTATTTAATTGTTTTGTTTTTATCTAAACAGATTCAGGAAGCTTGTGACATACTGTTGAGAGAGGCTCTGTTCCAAGGTGCCATTTTTATTTACACATCCGTTCCAACCAAGTAATCTGATTGGACGAGAGTTATTCCATGGGTGCTGATATAGAGTACATCAGCACTGGGACTTTAAACTACATGTATCACTCCTCTTCACAGGTGTTATATTAACCATTAATTAGCGTTACATTAACGGTCGTTATCTATCTTGGATCGTAACAAATAAAGATGAAAATATTTCCAGAAATATATGAAACATTTGAATTAAATGATGTCTGGTCGTCAGACGAGGGTGAAGAGAAGAAGCCTGGATATGACATATGACATCGTCAGGTCAGGAAAATGTCAAAACAGTCAGGTTGTAGAACTATTTGTGTTGGCGTAGCCAAATAAATGATGGAAAAAACAAACAAATCATAATCTGTAGTTGCTTATTTGACTGATATGGTGATATGCTGTGGCCTCGTACCTATGATCGAATCCTAGCTGTGCTGATATTAAGTAAAACATCACTCCCGCTTGTTTGACATTGATTAATTATTACAATAGTTACAAATGTCAGTGGGATTCTGAGGTTATCCTGATCCTAGACCAGAACCCAGAACTTCCAGCTCCACCTCGTTCTCTACAGCGCGATAGTTTGGGTCACTAATGGATCCAAGGTGACAAGGTCCCACCTGGACCTCTCGTTCTGTTCATGGACAGTATAAAGACACTTACAGGATAATGGTAAACAATAAAACAGTGTGAAATAGAGCTGCACAATAATAAAAAAAAAATCATATTGTGATTATTTTGGAAGATATTACAATTTCAGTGTGAATGGTCGTTTTTGTGTTTAATTTTCACAGAAACAATTTTTAAATGATGATGTGATTTTTGTTGGTCTTGTTGATCTGTAGCACAACAACACTCATGGTGCTAACAATGCACAGCAATGTGACATATTTTACCTTTATCAAAATAATTGCAGCTCCTGTGATTTGGATACTGAACTTGGACATATTTTGATTATATTTCAGTTAATTGTGCAGCTCTGGTGTGAAAGTAGCACAAGTACAGAGCAGTCTGAAAGTTTTTTGTTCAGTAATGTTAGCAGTGAACGACTCCAAAAATCTGTGTAAAAGTGTAACAGATGGACTCTGTCATGTTTCTGTTTTAATTACATCACATATAAAGGAACAGTTTGATCAGAGTGAATGATGAATGAAAGGATGTTTTCTGTCTTTTTATCTTTACTAATTAACCATTTAATTCACTGAGCAGCTCAGAGGCTACCGTCATCTTTTAAGGTGGAATATTTTTTTGCGTGTTACCGGTCATTGCACAGGTCAGATGTTGGTCCCTGCTTCGGCCTTCTGGCCTGTCGCACCTCCTCCAGTGCCAGTGCGGACAGCTGCAGGGTCATCAGCTGGAGGCCACCGTTCATGGATGTTTCGCCCCCTATGCCAGTACATCTCCCAGTGGCGTATGGGGACGTCTCCCCGCCATTCCCTGCAACTGCCCTTAATGGGGTGTTAGCCCCCACCCACTCTCCTTCCTCCGAAGCCACAGCCAGTAGCTCGCCCTCTCGGCTTCTTCTCCCAACTCTTTCACCGCCTTCCGCAAGCTTGACCCCGTCAACCCAGCACTGCGGAGTGTAGAGTAGTTGATATGATCTCTCTCGGGAACACCAGCTGTCTTCTTAGGTCTGCCAGCATTTGCCACTCCTTACCTGATCTCAGGATGGTAAGTTCCTGTGTGGGTGCTCTGCGCATCTCGCCTGGTTTAACAAAGGCAGCTAGTGCAGGCCTTGTTGTTTCCTGGGTGCAGTTTGCTGCCACCCTACATCCTTCCAGGAGCTCTGCCAACCTGGTTAGCACTTGGTCATGGCGCCATCTAAAGCGCCCCTGGGTCAACGCCACCTTGCATCCTGACAGAATGTGCTGGAGGCTAGCCTTGGTGGTACTGCACAGCGGACAGCCTACCTCACTCCCGAACCACTGAGTAAGGTTCCAGGGACATGGGAGGGTGTCGTACGCTGCTCTGATCAGGAAACTCAGCCTGCCTTGCGGTGTCCTCCAGATGTCTGCCCAGCTGATGCGTCTCTGCAAAGGAGCCTCCCATCTCGTCCAGGCTCCTTGACTGCCCTGAGATATAGCCTTTATGTGGAAGCGCTCCTGCTCCACTCTGGTGACCTCGTCCACCACCATGGTCTTCCGCTGTCTCTTGGTGCCTTTGGACCAGAACTGTTGAGGAGCAGTCCACCCTAGGCCCGAGCGACCTGTCTGGGTCGCCCCCATCACGTCTTTGTGTTGCAGGCTGGAGATGGCATTCTCTACCTCAACAGGCGCTTTCCACTTGCGGCCTGTGCAGATCGGGACTTTTGCACTTCTTATAAATGGTCAGTGGAGTCCCTCATCTCTAGCACAAAGCATGTCTTCTCTTGCTTGTACCCGAGACTGATGGATTTCAAAGGGAGCTCCAGCATGTTCCATCCAAAGAGGCCAGCATCCAATCCAATCCAATCCACTTTATTTATAGAGCACGATTTTAACAAACACAAGGTTTCCAAAGTGCTGCACAGCAAGATAAAAACACAATAAATAGCACAACAGAACACAATAAAACGATGAAGGACACAATAGGATAAAAGTAATAAAATAAGATAAAATCAAATAAAAATGAGATAAAAACAATTAAAATAAGAGATAAAATCAGATAAAATAAGATAAAAACAAATAAAATAAATAGAATAAAATAAATAAAGTGCACTGTTCACACAAGATGCAACACGCTACATGGTGTCAAAAGCCAGAGAGAAGAGGTGGGTTTTTTTTTTTTAAGTACATTTTTTTGGGCTTTTTATGCCTTTATTTGATAGTGCAGTAGAGAGAGACAGGAAATGGGGAGGCAGAGAGAGGGGGAATGACATGCAGCAAAGGCCGTCCGATGCGGGACTCGAACCGGGGCCAACTGTAGCGAGGACTGTAGCCTCTACACATGGGGCGCCACTACGCCACACAACGCCCCAAAGAGGTGGGTTTTAAGAAGAGAATTAAAATGTGACAGTGAGGAGGCCTGTCTAATGTGCAGCGGCAATCCATTCCACAGTTTTGGAGCTGCAACAGCAAACGCTCGTTCACCTCTGAGCTTAAGCCTAGCTTTAGGCACTATCAGGAGCAGCTGGTCAGCTGACCTGAGAGAGCGGCTGGGAGTGTAGGGGTGCAGCAGCTCAGAGAGGTAAGGTGGGGCAAGGCCATTCAAGGCTTTAAAAGCAAATAAAAGAATTTTAAAATTAATCCTAAAATGGACGGGCAGCCAGTGGAGTGAAGCTAAAACAGGTGAAATGTGCTCATACTTGCTTGCATACTTGCATCTGAGAAACAGCGAGGCAATCCCATCCACCTCCTGATGTATCTGTTGGCTAGGCTGTCCATCCTGCTGACCACTGACATGGGGACCTCGCAGATCTTCAGAGGCCACATCACACGTTGGTATAGTGTGTGCTGGTAGCACCACACCTTGTGCTTCCCTGGGAGCTGGCTTTGGTCAATCTTCACCAGCCCCTCGGCAAGTTGTTGTCTGGCCTGCTTCCCCATCTGTCTGTCAGACAAGTCTGCAGTGTACTGCCTCTCCAGGCTCTTGAGTGGCTTTTCAGCGAGCTGTGGAATTGGCTCTCCTCCAGCGACAAAGGTGGTCTTGTCTTGGGGCACTCCTTTCCTTAATGAGACTTCTTGATTTTGCTGCCTTTACCTTCATTCTTGCCCATGAGATCAGTTCATCAAACCTCTTAAGGAGTCGCGTTGTACATGGCGCCGTCTGAAGGATGGTCGTGACGTCGTCCATGTAGCTTCTTAGCGGTGGGAGCCTCTCCCCTGATGGTAGCCTGATACCTCCAACAACCTGCCTGGCCCCTCTGAGGATGACTTCGAAGGCTGTCACAAACAGGATGGGGGAGATGGCACATCCCATGGTGATTCCTCGCTCCAGCCGTTGCCATCCAGTTGTGCAGCCTTCCAGAGGAAAGCACATGTGCAGATTGACAAAGTATCTGGCGATGATGTTCCTAACACACACTGGGACATAGAAGAAGTCCAAGGCGAAGTCAATCAGTTTGTGCGGCACTGAACCGTACGCGTTGGCGAGGTCTAGCCACACCACATGCAGGTCCCGCTTCTCCCTCTTCGCCTGTTGGATTTATTCCCAAATCATGGAGGAGTGCTCAGTGCACCCGGGGAAACCAGGGATTCCA